TGTTTCTCTTCATTTTGAGTTGTGCCACATCAGCAAATGAAGGTCCCGCGGGCTTTTCTCCCATGGGCTTAACTCCATTTGTGTCATCATGGTCAACTCTACTTTGAGGAGGCAGTTCTTCCCCAGTAGGATTTTGAGTGCCTTACAATCTGAGGGGCTCTTTTCCTAGCATTGTATCTGACAGTGTTTTTCTGCTATTCATAAGGTTTTCAGTGACTAAATATTTGGAAGTAGTTCGTCACTCCTGCTTCCTACTTTGTCTTTGTCTGGAAGCTCATCTGAAACATGTCTAGCATGGGTGGCCTTGCTGGTATTTAAAATACTGGTGGCACAAGTTTCAGAACCACAGCAACTCACAAGCCATCACAGTATGAAAAACTGACAGACAAGTGGTGGACTTATGGATGTAGTAGCTCAAAAAAGGGAACAAATCTTTACAGTGAGGATCACTCCCAACCCTATACACAGGGTTGACAGTGATGGGCAACATAGAAATTGGCTACCCAAAATGGGATGGGGGTCTGTAGAAGCAAGAAGTGACTAGCTTACAAGCTTTCAAGAGGGAGCCTAGTTCCAGATGGAGCAGGAGAGGGTAGAAATATAACTGAATGATTTCCAATCCGTTGGGACCGGGCTGACGAAAGGAAATGGGGATAAGACTCTTTTGGTACAATAGTGAATAATTGCCATCATGTCTGACTGTGAGCCTAGGAAATATAGAGGTAGATGTTTTTCGACAAAAGGAGTAGAGTAATTGATTTTGCAGCCCAGGAGCGGAGGTCCCTGGGACCATCAGTTGAGAGGAGTGGAGAGAGGGACCCTACCAGAGAGGCAGGGATACCAGGGGGAGACAGACAAGATGATGTAGACAGATGGAGCAGCTGGGGACCCTGGACTCAGGGCGGGAGAAGGGCTGTGTGCTGGCAGCCGAAGGGGGGTTGCTGTGTGGTGTAATCTTTGGAGTTATGATGATGCAAGGAGGGGATTGTCATCATTGCAAAGAAATGAAATATGATACGATGAGTGTGAAGCTGATGTTCTCCCATGTAAACCTTACAATAAAAATGTAAAAAGAAAAGAGTATCACTCTTCTGCTTGTGGACAATGCAGATGATGCATTTTTTGTTTGTTTGTTTGTTTTTGTTTTTCGTACTGCTGTCATGTCTAAGTCAGAGTCTCCTAGAGAGCCTGAACAGCTGCAGAAACTCTTCATCAGAGGACTGAGCTTCTAAATAACAGGTGATAGCATGAGGAGCCTTTCTGAGCAATGCGGGATGCTCATGGACTGTGTGGTGATGAGAGATCCAAACACCAAGTGCTCCAGAGGCTTTGGGTTGGTCACTTCCTCTACTGTGGAAGAGGTGGATGCAGCCATGAATGCAAGGCCACACAAGGTGTACGGAAGTGTGGTGGAACCAAAGAGGGCCATTTCACGAGAAGACTCTCAAAGAACAGTTGCCCACTTAACTGTGAAAAAGATTTTCATTGGTGGCATTAAAGAAGACACCGAAGAGCATCACCTAAGAGATTATTTTGAGCAGTATGGGAAGATTGAAGTGATTGAAATCATGACAGACTGAAGCAGTGACAAGAAGAGGGGCTTTGCTTTTGTAACCTTTGATGACCATGACTCTGTAGATAAGATTGTTATCCAGAAGGACCATACTGTGAATGGCCACAACTGTGAAGTAAGGAAAGCCCTGTCAAAGCAAGAGATGGCCAGTGCCTCCTGCAGTCAGAGAGGTCGAAGTGGTTCTGGAAACTTTGGTGGTGGCCGTGGAGGTGGTTTTGGTGGGAATTACAACTTTGGTCGTGGGGAAACTTCAGTGGACGAGGTGGCTTTGGTGGCAGCCGAGGTGGTGGTGGATATGGAGGCAGTGGGGATGGTTATAATGGATTTAGTAATGAGAGGGAGCAATTTTGGAAGTGGTGGAAGCTACAATGATTTTGACAATTACAACAATCAATCTTCACATTTTGGACCCATGAAGGGAGGACATTTTGGAGGCAGAAGCTCTGGCCCTTATGGTGGTGGAGGTCAATATTTTGCCAAAGCACGAAACCAAGGTGGTTATGGCGGTTCATGCAGCAGCAGTAGCTATGGGAGTGGCAAAGGGTTTTCAGGATTGCCAGGAAACAAAGCTTAGCAGGAGAGGAAAGCCAGAGAAGTGACAGGGGAGCGACAGGTTACAACAGATTTGTGAACTCAGCCAAACACAGGGGTGGCAGGGCCTAGCTGCTACAAAGAGACACGTTTTAGACAATACTCATGTGTATGGGCAAAAAGAAAATCTTGATGACTGTATTTGTGACTAATCGTATAACAGGTTATTTAGTTTCCGTTCTGTGGAAAGTGTAAAGCATTCCAACAAAAGGTTTTAATGTAGAGTTTGTTTTTCCCGCACCCATGCTGTTGATTACTAAATGTAATAGTCTCATCATGATGCTGAATAAATGTCTTCTTTCTAAAAAAAAAAAAGAATATCACTGTTCCGTGAAATTTAACAGTGTTAACTGACTTTACTGAGAGTCTAGTTTTCCCCACTTTAGTCTCAGTTTCTTGAGGGAAGGAACCCCTGTTGTATTTGCATTCCCAGGACCAATCACAATCCCAGACAGAAAAATGAAAGGATGTGCTAGTTCGTGGGTCTATCACATGACTGCTCCACATACCTTTTCATTCTATCTTGCTATCTTCTGGTCCCAACTCCAGGACAGTATGTTCTAAGAGACCTTTGATTATGATGGTCTATTCACATTCATATCATCATATCATATCATCAATGAAAACAAGGCCATGGGCAAACTGCAGAACAGACCATCAATTACTCATATGCAAATTCACACTGAAACTGAAGAAAATGAAAACAAGTCCACGAAAGCCAAAATACGACCTTGAATTTATCCCACCTAAATTTAGAGATCATCTGAAGAACAGTTTTTATACATTAAACACTAAATACTGAAGACCAGAAAAGTTGTGGGATGACATCAAGAACATCATATGCGAAGAAAGCAAAAAGTCATTAAGAAGACAAGAAAGAAGGAAGAGGTCAAAATGGATGTCAGAAGAGACTCTGAAACTTACTCTCCAGTGTAGAGATGCTAAAGTAAATGGAAGAAATGAGGAAGTCCAAGAGCTGAACAGAAAATTTCAAAGATCAGATCGAGAAGATAAAGTTAAATATTATAATAAAATATGCAAATATTTGAAATCAGAAAACCAAAAAGGAAGAACACGGTCAGCATTTCTCAAGCTGGGGGAACTGAAGAAAAAATTAAAGC